AATAATTCTGTTATTGACATATGTATGTGGTTTAATTAATTCCACTGACCAAATCTCTGGTTGCTGTATTGTATTACAATTTTGTTGCTAGTAGTTGAACATTTACGATGTGTGCGGATCAAGGACACAATTAGACGACATATTGTGGCCGGCCGCAGCAGCAAATATATTCTAATTATTTATTATGCGAGTTTAACTTATTATTAGCAAGTTCCAAACGCTAACAGCATAATACACAGAGGTGCCGATGGAGTTACGTGAAGGTTTCAAGTGGCTACAGCTAGAGATGGGGAAAAAAAATTATATTCGTGGATATATATCTGAATCTGATATAATTAGATAGTGTAAAATTTGAATTCGAATATTATAGGGTGGACATAATTTTCTAACTATCTATGTTGGATTATACAAATATATATATATTTTTGTTATAAAATTTTCTTAATATATTTAATAATTATTATACATATTAAATTTTCTATTAATTTTTTTGTTGTTTTTAACTAATTTACTCGTTTTGTTAATTTATTGTTGTGTTTTTTCAGGCTCAAGATAGAGTGCATATCAATAACTAAATTTGAACTATTCATTTAGAAAAGCCAGATCTAAAGATGGAGAATAAAATGTCATTTTTATTTTTCCTATCTTTCTTAATCGGCTCATATCTCCTTCGTTTTAACCCGGATTTTAATTTTTATTGCATAGATAAAACGAGTTCGTTGTGATCTATAAAATGAGATCCATTTTCAATATTTTGTGAGAAAAAAAAATTCTTGCCTCTCGGTACCAATTGCATACCATATGGTATCTTCTTCGTTTTTAATTCGTTTTTGAAAGCGTTTGCACAGAATGAACGAGTTCATCATGATCTATTGGATCTACAAATTTATGGGTGAACAAATTACATGACCAAAAAATACCACACAATACCATCCTGGTACGGGGTGGTATCTTGTGGTACACAATGTTAAAATTCGTGAATGATAGGTAATATACTTCTACTATTATGTATTCAACCATCCTAAAGTCTCGATTTGTTCATACCACCATGGTACGCTTTTCAAACCATATGTATGCTCTTATTTCAATACCAGTCAATACCATATGGTATAGACAGGTAAAAAATGGCTCAATTTTTTTTGTTCGAAAAATATATCAAAGTGGATATTATTTTGAAGTGCACAATTAATCTGATATAACTGTACAATTTTTTTTTTACCCTCCTCATTCCAATTTCTGGGGAGTGGGGGTACTGTTGCACTTTAATATTTTCAGACCCTCCTCATTCCAATTTCTGACTTCGCCACTAATAATAATACACCTAATTTGGACATCTCACCATAATTTGAAACAATGAGATGAATTAATACTTAACATAATATTAGGTATTTCACTAAACATTTAGTTTTCGAATTCTTATGGCAATCAATACAAATTAATCATTTAAGCCGGAACTAGAAGGCCACTTTAATTTCAAATGTGTGAATGAATTGGCTTTTGATTAATGCGAATTATTAAAGCTGAACTCGTTTTTCAACAAAAAGTAATATAACTTTTGTACACCTCATAATTAGCATAATTAAAGCTTATTTATACTAGTGATAATTAAACTTAATCAAAGATGATGGTGTATGTACGTGTAAATTCAAAATTGATAATGATTTCTCATCAATGTTTTCCTTTTCCACTCCGGCCGCTGTAGAGAATGCGGCTGACTGGCTGAGCGCTACTCGGGACGTAGCTTACATGTCAAATCTCAACTCCATGCACTAGAAGATGACGTATACGCCCGCCGGAGATGAGATGAGATGAGTCATGAGAGGAATAATAACAATTCTACCTGGCCGTCCAATTTATGAACTTAAGTAATCATAGCTGTCTTCCTTTAACTATTTTGATTAATTGCGTAGATTAACATGAGGGAATATCTGTTGCCGGCTGTCGTTGTCAAATTCTGTAGATTGTAATGGAAAGGTTATGTAATAATTCGTGACGGATAATATATGTTCAACATGAATCATTCCTTTCAGTAATATTACTACTTGGACATAATTGTATATGAAGCTAAAAAATGCTTGTAAAAGCAAACTTTGATAGATACCATGTTGAATGTCATAATGATTCGTAATTTTATAAATAAAAGAGTATTATCTCCGAATTGTTCTAACCACAAACACTAGTTAAATAAATATTACATTTTAACCTAAGCTATAATTCTCTTCATGCCGCATTAAGAAACATGTATATGTTTGGATGTAAAACAAAAAACCCTAATTGAATTTCATATTTACTTTAATCTTCGGATTAATATACTATGGAAATACATGATAACCTAACTCTTTTTTGTGATGGTCAATGATGATATATGAAAAATCACAACACTGTGAAAGGAAAAGGGAAAAAAATAAAGGTACTTATATTGTTAGGAGTCAAACACCCAATTGTTGAATTACAATATTCTAAACGAAAGCACGGAATTGTATATGAACATTAGTACCAAACTACCGATGGTGTTTCTTCACATAAATTTTTTTGTTTTTGACCCTATAATTCAAGAAAATGCCAACAATTTCACGATAAAAATGAATATTTGATCGATTTGAAGGAAATCATCCCATGGTCCAGGTAAAGAGGTAAAATGTGGAAATACCTAAATTACCCTTGGTTGGTTTGGGAAGTGTAATTATTACCAGAATTATTGTTTGTACACTAGAGCAGATGAGTGTGGTGTGCTCCATATAGAAAGCCTTATAAAGAGGCATCTCCATGAATGTAGTAATTGCCAATTCCCTTTTTTAACTGAGGCCTGCACCTATGACTATGACTATGAGAGTGTCAAAGCAAGGAACTTTGTTATGGGCTTATGACTGTCTTTCTTTCTTTCTTTCTTGTTCCACCCTTTTTTTTTTTTTTATCATTTCTCCCTTTTTCTAATTTCTTCCCTGTAAATGAAAGGAACTTTGCTTAGAGAGACAAGTTTTGGAGTTGACCAATTTGTCCAGATGAGGGTGACTTACCACCCCTGACCCCGCTCTCCCTCAATATCATCAAAAAGACACCACCTTTGCCAAAAGCCTGCCGCTTCGCATCTGTGTGTAATAATTTACACTTTGCTAGCCAGCTCTATTGCCAAGAGTTTCAAATAATAGAAAAGGAGATGCTTTCTAGCTCTACTTCATATCTTCCTTCCCTCCTCTGAGATTGTCAAACCTCTATTGGACCTCGATTAGACCTGGTCCGATCTAAGTTGGGCTTTAAAATGGTCTCCAGAAAGCCCCCGATCTGACCCCTAAAGATAGAGAAGAAGAGAGGGGGAAGAGAGGAAGAGGACCGAAGGAAGGGAGATAATGGGTGAGTCATGAAGGTTATGTAGATTTAAGTTGTGAAAAATAAGTTTTTAATAGATACATGTAAGATAAATTTTATTTCAGCCATTAAATCTTTAATTACTACCTTATTTGTATATATATTTAGAAAACGTCTACACCGGCCAGACTCCGATCATACCATTAAACCTCAAACTCTTTGCTTGACCAGTTCAATGACTTAAACCGATTTGACAACCTAGTCCTCTCCTTGTGGCGTCTTTCTACACTTTGTCCTCATCTAATTTCCTGCCTTATACAATTAGTACCTTAATTTGATCACCATTAATACTTAATAGGAGTTTAGTTGAGCAATCCTACAGATATTCAAGAGGCACACGTATGCACAAGGAAACATGGATACACTACATATATTCTTGGGTTATTATTGGTATATAAATTAGCAGTACGATGTTTGTGTGAACTTTAATCTTTTCATCATTTTTATAAAGTATTTTTTTTTTTTAAACTTTGATGTTGAATTTAGAGTACGATGGATGTTACTTTTTCTCACGTTATCGATATGTAAATTCTTTGGAGTACTAAGTAACGCCTAATCGTCCCAATTTCATTGGTGAAAGGAGTAATCTCCTTACCTTTATACAAAAAAACGTTTTTCAGATACCATAATTTCCAATCAACAATTCTTTAAAATTGATCACTTCAATGCATTATTTGATTGCCTGGGAAAAAAAGAAATCACCATTCTTCATTATCTTGTTGGAGTTGTGAATTATTGTCTATTTGATTGCCACCTTTCACCGGGTAGATGGGCAAAACTTATCATTGCTTATCTCTGAAGAGTCTAATTAATGGACACATCTGAGGTAATTTCATGTTAATCTCTTTTATTATGAGAAGGTTTTGAGTTAAAGCTCAATGTATGTAGCGATCATATCTTGACTAAATCCTGTTAATATATTTTGTGACGAATGGTGTAAATATATTGTATGATAAATGAGAGAGAAGTAAAAAAAAAAATGTATACGTTATGAACATAAAATATAATGTGATTTACATAAACGAGTTGTGTAAATATGATTAAAATGAGGCAATAACGCAAATATAAAAAGAGTGAGTAGCTAAAGATATGATCTTATATAGTAATCTAAAAAAAATTATCCAAGACAAAAATGCAAGGTAAGAAACTAAGAAGAACGGCAACATAATTACTAGGAAGCTGATTTATGGTAAAAAGCAACTGGGATTTTACTATTCACCCCGTCCTACTAAATCATAGCATTTTTGTCCTACCTGTTCTACCTTCATTCCAAAACAGAAAAATGAAAAATGAAAAATAAGGTTCGATCATTGATGTGAACATTTCCACTATATATCCTTCCATATCCAGAGCGTAGCCTAGCAGGAATTTTCTGCGGGCCGTGGCAAGACATAGATTGCGTGTACATTTCCACTCAATAAAATATTAATGATTATTTCTCTCAAATTTCCAAAAAAAAAAAAAAAAAAATACGTGTATTTTTATAGATCTTGTTCTTGTTCTCTTGTATTTATTCTTTGTTTCCTGGACTTTTGTACTTATTAATGCAGATAAATCCCAAAGAAGAAAAAAATGAGAGAGGGGTGAGATTAACATTTAACTGTGTAAGAGATAAAAAGTGAATTATAATTAAGAGCGTTTTGTTTCTTTGTGAGTAGGAAGAGAGGGGTGATGATGATATGTTCTTCTTCTTCTTCCTTTCTCCTTTCTTCTGGCCCCCTTATATTTCCCCCTTCCTCTTGTGGGTTCCAAGCTGCTTTCAATGCAATTCCCCTTCTTCCTCTCTCTCTCTCTCTCTATCTCCTCCTTCTCTCTTCTTCTTCTTCTGAAGAACCAGTATCATGATCTAGCTTAGCTTAGCTAGTACCAGTAGTACTGTTGCTGCAAACAAAAAACAAATAAAGCTGCTCAATTGAGAAAAGGCTGCTTCCATCAAAGCAAGCAAAGCAAAGAAACCCCTTTCTTTCCCCCTTTTCCCTCTCTTCCTTCTTTCCACAACAAAAGCTGCAGCTCATCGACCGAAAGGAAGCAAGCAAGCAAGAGGAAGCACCACCAAGCAACAAGAAAAGAAAGCAAAGAAGATCATCATCCATCAGCAGCACAAGCAAAACCCAAATCGAAACCCCGATCTCCTTTCTCTCTCTTGGTTTCCAATTCCATGATTACTCTCGAAGAAGGAGAAGAAGAAGCCCACACCACCACAGTAACTCTACCATCATCATCATCACCACCACCATCAAAGAAGCAAAAAAATTAAAAGAGATTGGAATCGCTTTTTCCAACCAGCTAGCCATACCCAAGTAGTAGTAATTAGTACTGTTCCATACAAAAATCACCATGTTCCCCAACTTATCATCCTCCCCTCCCTCCTCCTTAGAAACCGAAACCGCCGCCGCCTCCCCCAGCAACAAGCGGAAGCGCCGCCCCGCCGGCACTCCAGGTACTACATCCCAATTCTCCAATTCCCCAATTCTCCAATTTGTTTAACCTAATATATATATAAATATTTTTTTTAATCTGGTTTGTGGCAGATCCAGATGCGGAGGTGGTGTCGCTGTCGCCGCGGACGCTGATGGAGTCGGACAGGTACGTGTGCGAGATCTGCAACCAAGGTTTCCAGCGGGACCAGAACCTGCAGATGCACCGCAGGCGCCACAAGGTCCCCTGGAAGCTGCTCAAGAGAGAAACCCCCGTGGTGAAGAAGCGTGTGTTCGTCTGCCCGGAGCCCAGCTGCCTGCACCACGACCCCTGCCACGCCCTCGGCGACCTCGTCGGGATCAAGAAGCACTTTCGCAGGAAGCACAGCAACACCAAGCAGTGGGTCTGCGACAAGTGCTCCAAGGGCTACGCCGTCCAGTCCGACTACAAGGCCCACCTCAAGACCTGCGGCACCCGCGGCCACTCCTGCGACTGCGGCCGCGTCTTCTCCAGGTAATTCGAACTAGAGTATTGCGGTTCCCGAGCCGAGATTGGGTGCGTTTCTTGTGGGTATTTTAATTTTTCGTTTTGAGCTTTGCTCGGAGTTCAAGAACTGTACCTGATTCTGAAAACGGATTTTTCTCTTCTTCTTTCTAAAAAGAAATTTGTTTCGCGACCATGTTCCAGTTCGTGGGGGGAATGGAGGATCTAGGCAAAAATATTATCTTACTACTACTGCTGCTCTTTTCTCTACTTTTCTTCCTTTTTCCAGCCTTTCGCCGCTTCTGCAAAGAAGCTTTGAGGAGCAGCAGCATGGCTTTATTCTCTCCCTCTGCCAAATATATAAACAAACTATATATTTGTTTTCTCTCTCTCTCTCTCTCTCTCGAAAAGCCATTTCTGCTTCTTCTTCAAAAATCAAAACCCAGTCAATGCAATTCAAACCTTATTATAATGATGTTTTTCCAACCCCAACCCCACTGTATAATCATCATGTTTCTCTTATAAATACACTACACTGTTCCATTTCCATTTCCCCTATTAATTTAATGTGTCGAGCTCTTCTCTCCTTCCCGAATAACGACACCCAACGGATTACAAACATTCTTGTTCATATACACCCATATAATAATACACAATCCCTTGTATTTATGTGGTGTTGTTACATAATCCTATTGTCCTGTGCCCTATTCTATTCTATTCTATAATAATATGTTAGCTAGCTAGCTAGGAAGATCCCTTCTTACTATGCATATATATCTATTCATTCATGGCGGCAGCGACATTTGGCTAAACCTCTTCATCTCTCTCCCTTCCCCTTTCTCTCTCTCTCTCTGTGCAGGGTGGAGAGTTTCATAGAGCACCAAGACGCTTGCAGCATGGGCCGGCAGCAACATTCCCCACCCGACCTGCACCAACACCAACACCATCAACAGCAGCAACACCAGACTGCATGTCTGTCTCGAACCGCGTCGAGTCCGAGCCCGTCCAACGAGACCGCGCCGTGGCCCATGATCGCCCCGACGCGTCCATCACAGCAGCAACAACAACAACTAGCACTGGAACAACAACTTACCCCTCCTCCTCCACCACCGGCACCACCAGGTCATCAACATCACCACCGCGGACGGGGGCTGATGTTGTTGAGCAGTACTACTACTACTAGTACTGCTACAACAACAACTACAACAATTGGTGCCCCGACAACTCCAACTTCTCACTCCTTCCACAACCTCGACCTCCAGCTGTCCTCCCCCTCGTCCTCCGCCCCCGCCGCTGCTGCAACCACGCAGCTGCAGCTGTCGGTAGGGTCGTCTTCCTGTCCGGCGGGGAGGAGGGAGGTAAAGGAGGAGATCATGAGGGCGGCGATGGCGGAGAAGGCATACGCGGAGGAGGTGAGGAAGGAGGCGAAGCGGCAGATCCAGCTGGCGGAAGAGGAGTTCGCCAATGCCAAGCGGATACGGCAGCGGGCACAGGCCGAGCTGGACAAGGCCGAGGCGCTCAAGGAGCACGCCGTGAAGCAGATGAGCTCCGCCGTCCTCCACCTCACCTGCGCCACTTGTAGGAACAAGTTTGCGGCCGCGGTGGCGCCGCCGGATGAGAACTCGTTGGTGGTGAGTTACGTGTCGTCGGGGGTCACGGACCACGGTGAGGTCGAGAAAGGGAGGTCGGAGGGGTGATCATACATAATTTGGTGATTATATTATGATGATTAAATTAACATCGTTTTTAATAATGAGTGGACCAGTGGATTAATTTCTATAGATTCTCTGGTTTCATTATAGATGATAATATTTGGGAGGCTTTTGATCAGTTAACATGTTAGATTCTTTGTTTCTTTGTTGGGGAGCATTGGGTTTGCTGGTTTTATTATGTGATTAGTTATCTTTTGGGGGTGGGGAGTGAGATTATGAGAGTTTATTTTTGTTGTAATTTTATTTTTTACTGTGTATGTGTGGTGATATTTATTTGTTCATTTAGTTATGGTGTTGGTGGGTGATGGAAATTCTTGAAATTTGATCAAAAATAAAATAAAAAATAAGAAAAAGAGCAATTATTAAGGTTGTTTTGTAACAACTGTGTTCCTGTGATCCATGATGTATTTAGTGTAAACAAATGAAAAAAATTGTACATGTATGTGTACATTCTTGTTGTTCTTTCATTCGACAACATTCAATGAAATATTTATGTTGTTTAGCTAGGATTTAACTTTAATTTGTTCATGATCAGGTTGAGAGATAGAATATATATAGTTAGAAGTGTTTAGTTACAAAAGTTTAACGATCAATATTTTCCCTGTTAATTAGTGACCAATAGTTTCATGTTAGTGACTTTTGACACAAATGCACGATGAAATCAGTTATTTCTTTGATGGACCTAGATATTATTCTCAATGCACATCAATGAACATCAAAGTAAGTAATCATCATATGCTGATGATATTCATTATTCAGTGCTTGTATGTTGTTAAATCTTTTGTTTTTTTTTTTATATTGCTCAAAGCATGAAACACGAAGCTAGTTGAAATTAAATGCTGGATGATTGTGGATAAAGTCGGTTTGTGATAAATGATTTCTGAAATTGACCTTGTAACCAAAGTTTATTGAAAGGAAGGGGACAAAAGGCAAAGTTTATTGCATATAAAGAACTGCGGAAAGCTTGATCAATATCATAATTATTCTTGTATTTATATATTTACACAAAATATCATAATTATCATTATAATTCTTTGATCACCGGGGCATGAGAATTTTAATGATGAGGAGAGGGAACACCTAGGAGGGAAAATCTTGACGTGTCGTCATTTTGAAGGATAGATTCTATATTATGTGGCGGATTCATAGTTCATTCATATTAGAGTGTCATTATAGAGTTTGGATTCAGAGTATATTAAATGCTATTATCATTTCATTACCACTAATTTTACATTTATTAGTGTTCTAAACCAAACTAGAGGAAGTGTCTTGGTGAATACTTGATCTCAATTAGATTGTATATAGTCCTAGCGGATAAAGGTGTTAGATTCACAATAGAGCAAGCCTCAAATTCGGAAAGTTAATGTTTGGTATCACACTAGTCAAAACATGGAACCAATTTATGATCGAATTCGAATATGATACGCAATGCAGTATTGCTTTCGAATACTTATTATAATCATTGTCAACAAGAATATAGTCAAATCACAAGCGGCTAAGGTGTTAGATTCACCTAAGAAAAGTCTCAGATTTGAGGAATTACATCATAAAAAGGGGACTATTGATGATTAGGTTTGAGTCCGATACATTTCTTTTCTTATGAATGGGCATAAAAATGAAATGTCAAAATAGCTCCCAGTGAGGATCGAACTCACGACCTTTCCCTTACGAAGGGAACGCACTACCACTATGCTATGGAAGCGACACATGCTCAACAAACACAAGAATCATATATATTCTTTAATGAATTCAACGACATCAAACTTATACAATGCCACTTATGCATATCAAACTTATTGCTACAGATTTATATTTATTTACGGATGTTCTTATCAATATAAGGAATTGGCCTAACCAAAAATAGTTTAAGACGTATCAGTATGTATACCTGGTGAATTATATACGTTTCACGTACCACTTAAACTGGTATTTTCCCAGCCACTCCTATATAGTTAAGGGTTTCCAAATGTTAGTGTACGTATATAACTGCGTATAATTAAGTAAAATACGAACCATGCTAGCTGTTTAGTACGTATAATATATGGTTAGTACGTCCAAATGTCAGCGTATATGTAAGTAATAATTAATTTAAGTTTGGGTATTTATTTTCTTTTTCTGGTGTGTGAGGAAAGGGTAGTGGGCAGGCATTTCTTTCCTGGTCTGGGACTATTTCATTGAATAAGGATCAGAGAACACTTATGTCACTCTTCTCCCCTCCCCTTTTGGCAGTTTTGGATCTTCTGTTTGGACTATATGGGATGATATATATTTTTTATTCAAGAAAAAAAAAATATATATATATATTAGAAAACAGAAATACATTTAAACCCTGATGGTCAGCAAGCCAGAAAAATTGATAGGAAAACGAGAAAAATTATTGAAGCTAGCTGACCCTCTTCCCCCCAGCAGCATTTAAAAGAAAGTTCTTAGTTCTGACCCATAATAATAATTCTATATAGCCAGCCCTAAAAGCATTCTTTGGTTCATAAAGATCAATAATAATGAGAGATTTATAGGTTAAGAACTAGCTCACCTACACATACATTCTCTCTTGCTGAATGAATTTGGGACCATGATCATATGCATATATACCTCAACAATTGCCATTGTACATGGTTGATATATCGTCAAGCTAATCGTAACTTTGCATATCGTCTTATTTGACCTGATTCATTTGAAATGTTATCAATAAAAATTGAAAGATAAATGATGGTGTCTTCGATATTTTGAAGCCTAGAGTATTAGTGTCGGTATGAATCCAACAAACTCAAACTGAGCTGTTGTTGACGGTTCATCAACCACAACCACCAAATCTAAGAACCCATGTTCCTTTATGCTACTCTCAAACTCATAAATTTATTTGAACACATTTATGCCCAGATCGATGATATGAATATTTTTAATCACTAGTTAAATGATATTGTTAGGTTCTATATATGATATCCATCTATGTTTCTCTGAAGTGATTCTCATAGCTGATATAATTAGTTAATTATCATTCATTAACGGAAAGAAATAGTTAATTACCATCCAAAGATGAAAGACCAGTACTATTTACCTCTTCTCTCCCCAACTCACAGAGACCAAGAACAGTAGTGTGACTGCCTCACTGGAAATACAAGATCTGATTGCTTCGATGCTGTGTATCCTAATAATGAAAGGACTGTGTAGTCGTGTACGTTGAAGTTTGAACAAGAGAGGGTAATCATGTATAAGTCAAGTCATCTCTTCTTAGGACCACATTTCTTGTTCACCATGTTTCTTGTTACAAAGGAATATAACCCCAAAGATCTCTCTAGGACAGAGAGAGAGAGGGAGAGGGTACTTTTTATAATGTTATTTGATGGGTGTTCAGAAATGAATGGGAAGCAGTGGGTCTTTTCATATAAATGTTGTTTAAGAAGGCGCCATGTTTTTCAGTGCCACAGTCGCAGCAGCAGGCAGCAGGCAGAGAGAGAGAGAAGGAAAAAGAGTGGTGGGGAAAGGAAAGAAAGAGTTGGGTTGGGTTGGGTGGTTGAATGAAGAAGAAGGATAGGAAAGTGGGGATGGGATTGGATTTGGATTTATATGTTACTGATCGAGTTACTGAATTCTTCTTATCTTATCAGACGGCTCACTCAACTCAGTAGTTGTAAGTGGTGAGTGTGAGTGCCTGTGCAGTGACTCGTCCCTCTCAAATTCAATTCATCAACTCACCCTCCCTTAACACAATTAGACACACAACAAACTAATTGCATTTTGCATTTTGATAAAATTGTCAAATCGGTTTATACCGTTTGACTAGGGAAGCAAATGATATGAGATTTATTGAGCGGATCGAGGTTTGACCGATTTTAATAGTTTTTATACATAATATAAATATGTGTCAGTATATATGATAATAATTTAATAGTTTAATAACATGGATGTAATTTGACAGGAAACATGCCAACATATAATGAATTTAACAATAAGTGCATATATGCTTCGTTTCTCAGAATATGGTTTGGAAGAGGGCCAAAACGTATCATCATATCGATTAACTCAAAGCTGTCAATCCGGACAAACCACCATTTTTTTGCGGGTTTGATCAACTTTTTGCGGCTTTGACCGATTACCGGTTTGGAGGCAAAATAACTTTTTGGGATCGTTTTCACCACCGATTCCAATCGATAGAGGGTGTGCAACAGTCTGTTCCCAACCAGACTAAACTAAGGAGAACCGCGATTCAACAACTGTCCGATTTGGTCCTATTTAAATGTCATTTTGGTCCATTTTTTCGTGTTTATGAGACCAAAGACCGGACCACGTTTATATTCAATTGGGTATAATCCGTTTTCAAGAATCAAATTGGTCCGGTACAATCCAATACGGACCAATATGTTGCACACCTCTAACCAACCGGCTGGATAGCGGCTTAGACAACACTGCATTCCACCATCAATGTCTCTTTCTTTCTCTCTTTCACCACAATAGTTTTACATTTACTTTGTTTCATTTATCTTGTTGCCTCAGAATCAGAGCCACAGTAAAATGGGACCTAAACCCCAGTCCAGTCCAGGGCCAGAGGCCACTGTTCTAGCTTTGCAGAGAGCAGCTGATGAAGAGGACTGGAAGGGAAGGAAAAGGAGGAGCCCAAGAAAAAGAAAAAAAAGACAAAAGAAAGCATCTTTCCTTTTCTGTAGACACCATTGATGGCCCTTTTTGCTTTCCAGTTTCATTTTCTGGAACCGAAACCTGCATGTGGGTTTTCTTTTGTCTTTCCTTTCTCTCTTCTTAATCCCTCACAGACTCACTTTCATCCACTCACCGCTAGCTAGCTGCTGTGTCTCTCTCTCTGTATACTTCACAAAACTGTAAACCATTTACCAACCAACGCATACAGAAGCAATAAGGAAACAAAAAGGGATCCCCCACTTACCACTCCCCCCGTTCAGTTTTCTGCAAAGTGGGGGGAAAAGGGGAATCTTTTACTTTCTCTTTTTATCCCCTTTTCTTGCTTTTTTACTTACTTCTCTTTTCATTTATATATTTTCCCCCTCTTATACATGCATTATATTTGATATGTTACCAATAAGGACTAACATGCTCCTCACTTCATTGATATGAGTAGGGCAAGCTAACAACTATCATTTAACACCCTAATACACAACTTACATGAGTGTGTATAGTATCCCGATCGAGCTAGTGCTTGTATGTTTTGCTCGAGAATATGAAGATTTTCATGCAATCCCGAGGTTTGTACTACGCCGATCATGTGGAAATCAACTTCTTCAATATTTCTAGGAAATAGATGGTTTGTGATTTGACGAAGAAGATTCTTTTCTAGCAATGTCTCTGATAGTTCAATGATTTGGAGATTACAACGTAGACGAAAGAGGTATTTCTATGCCAAACATAGTATTTCCTACAACCTAT